TTTCTTTAGCACCATAAAGCATTTCACTTACTGAAGAGGTGCATTCAGTTCTACGGAAACTAAAGACTAGTAAGTACATTCAAAACTCTGGAGGCAGCAAACTCCAGTCAGTGCTACAGCTATCCCAACGGAGACTCTGAAGCTCTCTACCTCCCCTTTTAGTTTTCATTCAAGCCTTTTCTTTTGTGCTGTAAAACCAGGCATCTCTCAAAGAGGCAGAACAGTTTCAGTATCTCCTTCCTTCCTTTCTTCCTACCTTCCTACCTTCCTTCCTTCCTTTCTTCCTTCCTTCCTTCCTTCCTTCTCTCTATCCTTCCCTCATTCCTTCCTTCTCTCTATCCTTCCCTCCTTCCTTCATTCTTACTTATCCTTCCTCATCCTCATTCTTTAATTTTTAAATTTTTTTTCAGGATTACAGGCATGACCCACTATGTCTGGCAACCTTTCTTGATTTTCAGTGGGCTGTCCTTGAGATTCAGAAAGCCCTGAGCTTGTTGGATAGACAGACATCCTTTCCATATCATATGGGTGAGTGTTTCTTAGTGTCTTTAGTATTTATTTCCCCAAACACTGATTTTGAAAAGGCCTCATTCAGTCCTTACAACTTTGTACTAAGCCACTCTCCAATAGTGTCCTTCCCCAGTGTTTTATCATTTAGTTATGATTCTCAAACCAAGAGTACACCTCGAGTATCGTATAGCTGAAATGGGATTTCTGCTTCATGACTGTAGTTACTGTGTACTGTTGAGTGGAAAATGAGCCTTAAAGGGTAGCCTGCGTAGTCATCAAAATAACCTCATGCTGTTTGAGGACTCTCAAACTGATGATAGTGTTTCCAAAATTAAGCATCCCAACTAAATTTTTTTCTCCTTTACTTGAGTCTTCTAGAAATCTTTATAAAATCCCTAGCCTACATTATGTTGACAATATCTCTCTTTGTCATGGAAATGCTTGATTTTGGTACTAAGCCTTCTAAATATAACTATTGGCTTAGTTTAGTGAATTTTATGATTAGAAAACAAAACTCGCATTAGTTTTATTTTATAAAAGGAGATATTTCTATAATGATTGGCAGCATTAAAAAATCCCTAAATGAAAATGAAAACTGTTTAAATTTGACAACTTTTCAGTCACACAGGAGAAAACAAACATTTCTAGTTTTAGCAACAGCTAGGACTAACTAGTGTTCCATTTTCCTCTTCAGCATAGAAACTCAGCTCTAACTCTCTTCATTTCACAGGATGTTTTAAGAGAATCTTTAAATTGTGGATCTCCATCACACTAGATCAGTTTGGTAAGAGCAAGCCTGGCTAAGAGGTCCTTGGATATTTTTCTCCTTTATGCAGTAAAGACTAATTCAAACCCACTAAAATGGAAAGTCACGAGAACTGCAAGACCTCACGTGAAATAACACAGGATGAGCTGATTACAGCATTGAAGCATCCTTTATGCTTCTTTCTTACACACACACACACACACACACACACACACACACACACACACACACAGTCCTTTGTGTCCCCCCCCAAACAATTCTTCCCAGCAAAGAAAAGAGTCAGAGAAGGTGAAAATGTTGTCACAAAAGCCCACCTAGCACCAAGGACTTCAGAGAGATGGCTAAAGAAGTGATGGATAAAGTAGTGCAGGAAGTTTGAAAAGACTTAGGAAAAGATAAGGCCTTAACACATAATTGCACAGAGCAGCAAGAAGTCAGTAGGGAAAGCTGTGAGGAAGCAGCATATGTGAAGCAGCTGATATCTGAGACACTGGAGAGGCAAAAAGGGTGGTCAAAGGTTCAAGCTAGTTATTCTAGTCCCAACACAACCCTTAAAGTCTTGAAGACCCTTGGCTGGGGCCATTGTATCTGCACCCTTGTTCCATGTAGACAGCACCTAACCACAATAGGAGATTGGACCTGTTCTTGTGCATTTTCAAGAGAAAGCAATTTCTAACTTTTCTCGTGTGTGTGTGTGTGTGTGTGTGTGTGTGTGTGTGTGTGTGTGTGTGTGTGTGTGTGTGTTCTGAATGACCAAGACTGGGAAGGTAGCCCTCTAAACTTCCAGAAGAAAGCGTCTAGCTGAAGTTCCGAGACTATCAATTTGGGAGATTGAATATAATACTACATAAGAAGAAAAATTCTAAGACTTATGAAAGTTAAGAAAGAAGAATAAGGGAAGATACAATTTCCAGGAAAGTAAAGATTAAAGGGGACTCCGTTGAGGAGGTATTAATAGGAGAGGTTAGAAGAGAGTAGTCAGAAATTTCAGACCAAGGAAAATCCCAGATTTTTGACGTGAAGAAATCAGTGATAGGGCAAAATACTATTGTCATACATTGGTCCTCACTCCACTAAGGCAGTTGGTTGAATAAGAGATCTCCAGTAAATTTGGCCTACTATGTTGTGACAGAAAGAAAAAGAATTCTGAGAGCATAGACAGGACCAACAGAATGCTAAGTGCTCAATAATGCAGAGCATAGTATAATGAAGATAATAAGCATCTCTGCCTTGGCCTATTGCTCACTTCTCAAGTTCACTTTCTTGTTACGTTTCAGTACAAAACGACTGGTTACAAGTCTCTAGTTTATATGTTAAAAACATACAACACATGGCAGGCCTATAAGAAGGTGCTTTAAAATGACAGTTCTCTTTGGAGAAAGATATGAACCATGCCCTAAAATTGGCCCTAAGTGGGCTCCATAGGAGCAACTGAAAGAGTATCCATTCCAAAGGACTGATGATAAAGTTCTGACTAGGAAATTGTTTCCAACAGTTTTACGCTATCCTATCCCATTCTTCCCCCATTCTCCAAAGCTGAACATCATGATGCTTCAAAGAAAAAAATCTGGGACAACTGCTCCCATATTTACTCTTATAAAAACACATTATACTCATAGAACATTTTCTTTATTTCTTTTTTAATTTTCACTTTTTGGTTACATAGAAAGCACTCCATTCCTATAAGCCAGCAACATGACTTTGAGGTCTGGAGTTTTGGGGATCACAATACAGGCTGAGTTGGTAATTCCAAGCAAAAATTCAGCTGCAAAACAGGACAAACAAAAACCAAAACCAAACAAAGACTAGTTCCTAGGAAATAGCCATAGCATTTAATACAAACAGCTAGCTATCAGAGTATCAAGAAAGAGAAGAAAGTGTTCTAGTTTGATTGTTTTGTCTTTTGGATGGCCACTGTAGGGCAGGAGACTTGTTTCATCTGGTGCCTGTCCACTAAGTAATTTTCCTGGGCTCACTGCACATAGTGTCAAAGCCTAGGAATGTTCCTGAACTATCCTCACAGACTTCTCCTCACCCACTCATCCCAACAGACAAAAGAGACTGATGCTATGAACACACACAATCTAGATCATGGGCTTGTTCATTTTACTACCTAGCTGTAAGTAGTAGAGTAAGCTGGTGAAAGGAATCATGGACTGGGAAATGTGTATATTTATATACATGATAAGCTCCCTTCCATTTCTCTCTGACTACTTTAAAATGTTGCTTCTCAGTTTGTGAATATATTTATGTGTCAATGACTAGGTAGGTTGCTCATATTTTTTCAAAAAATTCTTTTGAAACATCTTCCCTGTTTTGTTAAGTTCCCCTTTCCCCCACCCACTTATCCTCCTCCCTCCCACCCCAGCCTCTATATTCACAAGTTAATAGGTTAGTAACAATATTAGTAAGCATAGTAACAACAACAACCAACAACAACATTAATAGTATTAATCCCCTATATTGGTATAGCACTTTATGATTTACAAAGCGCTTTCACATCCATTATCTCATCTGTGCCACAATGCATCAGTCATCAGGCACATAGGCCTTTAACTGTGCAAGGAAAAGAGATCAAATGTTAGAAGTCAAGTGGTGAATAAAGGGGAAGAAAAGGCTAGTAGTGAGGGATGTCAGAACTGTGAAAGTTTTTTTAAAGGTGGTAGAAGGGAGGACTGAACCAAAAATGTGATTTTAAAAAATTATTAAAAATTGAGATTTACGGTTATTGTATGGTATGAAAGAGTAGTCATCCTCAGACTATGTATAGATGGCCTAAATTAGTTGTTTCAGCTTACCTGATATTATATGAATTTAATCATAGGAAGGAAAATTTTGTCAATCTGAGATGCCATTTTTAAAAATGACATTGGCATTGCAAGATTAACATTTAAAGAACACTAAAGCCATGTTGTGAGTGCACTTTTGACAAAACTGGAATAAAACATTTAGGAAACTACTTAAATAAAATCAATCTATGTATTTCATTTATTATTAGTGTCAATTTTATAGCTATTTTATAATTTATCCCAGGCTATTATAAAATATATAAAACTGAGATATAAAGTATCAGTAATATAACTTTGCACTTTAACTTACTTTGCACTACAGATTTTGCTTTGGAAAACAAACTTTCAAAGCAGCTGTTTTATTTCCTTGTACAAGGTTCTATAAATGCGTATACTCTGTCCCTGATGGACTTGCTGTTGTGACCTTCAAGCTTTTCCAATATTTTAAACCTTAGATGATGGAACAAACAAATCTCTATTGTGCCTTGTTTAACTGTTCATGTTTCCATACAGGATAGTAGAGTTTAAAACTTTAAAAGAATGTATGGATGGATGTGTGTATGTGTGCACACACATGCATATTGCATACACATGTGTGAGTGTGTATATATATTTAATAATCACCAATGAGCTTTAAACTGATGATGGGGATGAATGTGTGAGATGAGGTAAGAAATTTTGGCACAATTCAAACACTTTCCTTTGTTTTGGTAAATTTTATAACACAACATATTTTTCCACTGTGATCTACAGGTGCTATCCACAAAAGTGGGGGTGGTTAATAGCAAGAATCACTGGAATGTTTCTAGTAAATTAACAGGGACAAGTCCCCCCAAATACTCACAACCAAATGTTGATATAGAAGTAAAACTATATACAGTACAGTTACTTATTTGTAGTTTGGCACAATGTTTTCCATTTTTTTCCTTGTGGGCAAAACAGTGCATAAACTACTGGTGCAACTGTATGACTTTTAAAGTCTTTTACACAGAACATCAGATTAAAGTTTGAGTTCAAAGACTTATTCCCACAATTTAAACTTTTTCTTTAAGCACTTACAGGTCAACATACATACCACAAAGCTTGCTTTGAAAGAAATAAAACACAAACATCAAATGTCTTTCTGGAAAATGTGAGTCTCTTCTTCAAACACAGGTAAAACCCAAAATGCTGTTTCTGCTTTTAGGAGATTGTAGTTGGAATCTCTGCAGAAAAATCAAAGAATTTATACCATCTTAGTAAGTTTTAGTGTATGTCCCACAAAAGGATCATACCATGTAAATATATTGACAACATACTAGATGTTGTATGATGCAGAAAGATAGATAGCACTCCTAATTGCCATGTGTTGATAACTGATGCTCTTTTGTTTAAATGATCTTGGCTTTTTGTCTACATGACTTTTTGATAATGTTGTTCAGAATCTGTCTTTATTGCAAAGCCCTTCCATTCCAAAAATCATTCAAGAGCATATTTTAGTTCTACTTCTGTTTTCTTAATAAGCAAAAAGTTAACGCAGTATAGGAGAAAAGCGTAGCCTTTGTTAGAACTTATCCCTAGCCAAGCCACAACAAAATTGCCCGATATTTTGGGTGGCTTAGAGGTACAGGGATGTCCATGCACTTTTTTCTTTTCTTTTTAGTTTGAAAAAAAGAGAAGAGAATGGAAAAGAGTCTCTCATGCAAACTTCTGCTTTCAAGAAGGAAAAACAAGGAGCTCTGGGCTCAGCAGGTAGTAGGAAAGCCAAGGGCGTATCTCATCTCAGCCATTTTGGTGCAGTATTACCTCAGTTTTTCGAAAGAAGCTGTCCCAGCCTCATCCTTGTGGACCTGTTCTCGTTCCACACGCTTTCCCTTGTATTTCTCATCTCGCAGAACCTTGGAGCTGGATTTGTGACGATATAATTTTTTGTGTGTTGGTCCATTATTGCCTAAAGTGCTCATGTTACTGTACTTTTTATCAAAGAAGGCAGACTGAGAGTCCTCATTGTAACCAGGCATGTCTGCAGGACCAGGATCAGTAATTGCTGCTTTCCCATTGCTTTTGTTCACACCTTTGATTGATCTGTGATTCTTAGTAGCGCCTGATGATCCATTATTAACCTTTTTCTTAGATTCTTGTGGTGTCCCAGCTAATATTTTGAGGGTTTTTAATTTTAGGCTATTGGAATCAGGAGAGTAGAATGTATTGGACTCCCCTTGGTGCTCCATGGGTTCCCAAAGAGGCTCTATGGAGGCCATCATGAATCTCTGCACATCTGCCATACCAGAGGCAATGTTGGACAAGATATAGGAAGGCTCTTGAAATTCCCGTTGGTCATCATCCAGAAGGTTGTTGGTATTACTGACTACACTCATGTCATTCCAGCCTGGCCTACTTTCCTTCCCCACAGCCCAGTCTCCAGAAAGTCCCTTCTGACTTGGCATCTTCATAGGGGCAACAGGACCACCATGCTGAATACATTCAGTGAGTGTCTTTCCACTGGGGGATGTGCTGTTGGGTTGGCCCCCACTACGGCCAATCCCAATCTGCATTTTCTCTCCATTGACAGCAGCCACATATTTCCCTTTCTTTGCTGACTTAGTAACCTGGCGGGAGGTTTTGCTAGGTGGCTTTTCAATCCCTTTGTTGCTGGCTTTTGGGGACTTTTTCCTGGTGTTTTTCTGAGAAGAACTTTGAGTTACAGCCCCAGTCTTGCCAGGTGAAATTTTCTTTCTTGACTTTGACCCTTTGTTGTTGGTACTAATTTGCCCAACTGGCTCATCAAATGTTGACAGGCAAGGGCTTTTTTGAAGCAGGCCAACAGAGTCCTCATCATTGAACATATGGAACTGAAACTGATGGTTATTTAATGTATAGCTATCATCTGCTTGAACCTGTTGTGAAAGGGTACTACAGTCCCACTCAATCTTCTCCATGCTGCCCAATGATCCTGGGACACCCTCTTGGAATCCCTTCATTGTTCCTAGTGTTTTGATACTTTCACATCTGGTACTCTGAGGAGAAAGACTGGGGGTGTCTGGTGGAGACATTTCTGAGAGGGAAGAGTGGCGGAACTTGTCAGGAGTGAAGTTGGAAATATCGAGGAGGTCAGTGGACTCTTTTAGTGGTGCTATCTCATCAATGCTCTGCTGGATCACCAGTTTGGGGCTGCAGTGTGCCAAGAAGTCATCAGTGATATCATCATCACCATCTTTTTCACAGGATTTCAAGCTTAAGGAGCAATAATTGCTTGAACTGACAGAAAGGGGAGTCATCGAATCAAAGCTAAAGAGCCGGCCATCCTCATCTGTACTGACTGGAGTCTGTTGGAAAGGAAAGCAGATCTCTCCGTTATTAAAGTGACACAGTTGATAAGAGTCATCAGCTTGGAGGTGGGAGTCCTGCACAGAGGCATACAGAACCTTGTTGCAACCACTGCCATCACTACTGAGGCAGACAGGACTGTACGTTATAGTTGTAAGGTTATTCTCCATGGAGACTATTTGGGAGGCTTCAAATTCACTAGACTGGTTTGGGGTTATCTCCCTTGAGACTTCAGTCATGAACTCTTGTGGGCCAGATGTAGCCTTGTTGGGCCACATACTTTCAAAGTTGCTTGTTTCCATTTTGAAGTTATGGGATGATTGTTGCAGCTCAGATTCAGAAGATGAGGACAGCACACAGTCCTCAGCAGACTGGAGAGGTACAAATGATTTTTCTGTTTGAGCAAGGCTGCCTTCATTTTGCTCTGGAGAATGGTTGGTGAAGTATGAGATACTGGTATTATTTGACAAGTCTGAAGCATCTAACAGTGTTTGCAGGTAACCTCCAGGGATAACAGGTATATTAGTGGCAACATTAGCAGAAGATAAAGGCATTTCAGAAGGTAAGAAAGTGGAATTCTTAACAACTTTTGTCTCATGAAATTCAGACAGATGGGAACTGTTTGAGGTTCCAGGAATGACTTCATTTTTTAAATTAGCCTTAGAGGATTGGTCTTCCAAGACTGGGCTTATCTGAACTGGTTTGTTTTCTTGTCCGGTTTTGATTTTTTTGGATTTTAATCTAGCTTCACTTTTAAATTTAATTTTGTTGAGCACTTTCCTCTCTGGCCCCTTAAACTCTGCATCTTGGGTTTTGACTTTCACTGAGTCAGGGCCTATGATGCCACGTAAATGTGATCCACTGGTACAGCTTGGAGCAGCAAGAGCTGCTGACTTTGGTGTACCTTTCAAGCCGCCTTCTTCTTTGCGATTACCAGCTTGTCTCTGATCACTGCAGAATGAAACCTGCTTACTACTTGCTGAAGTTTCCATGGATTGGATCCTTTGAATCCTGTGTCTATTGCCAAGCTTAGATTTTCGTTTACGAGCAGGTGGCAGGAATGACACCTCAAAGCTACCTGGTTCAAAGCTTTGCTTTTGGCATAAAGGTGTTTTGATGGAGTCTGTGTTGCTGTTTCTCTGCTTTTTCTTCTTTTGCCAGAAGCCCTTCAAAGGTGATAACTTGGCATACTTACTGAGCTGATTCTCACTCAGATTTACTGTTGTTTCACTGGCATCTACTTTACTTAGCTTCACCAGCATGTTCTTCTCTCCTTTAAAGCGATTGATAATGATATATTTGATAATAACAGGGGGCTCCTTACGGGTTACCTTTCTTCTCTTTTTGGGACACCATTCATCATCATCTTCTTCTTTGGAACCACTTGGAGGCCATTCCTTCCTCTCATTTACTTTTTCCCCTTCTAGTGAGTCAACATCATACAGATAATCTTCACTGTATCTGACTTTTCTCTTGGCTCTCAGCCCATAGTTTTGCTGGGAAGATGAGCTTCCAGAATTAGTGTCCCGAGCCATATAGCGGCTACAGTCCTTGATCTCCCCCATGGCATCATACGAGACCTCAATGAAAGAACTGTCATCACTGAAATTCCCTGATGTTTCCAGGGAATTGGTAAGATGGTCTGGCTTTAGGTTCTTAAATTGCTCTACCTCAAGCCCACTACATGGTTTGTTACTTAATTCAGGCTTTTCTCCATTATCTTTTTCATCTTTTTTCTCTATACTTTTGTCTTCATGTACTTCCTCTTTGCCTTTCTTCTTGTCCAAGTTTTTATCTTCCTCTCCCCAGATGATGCTCACATCAGGGACCTTGAATTGAGAAAGATCACTGCTCTGCTTGAAGATTCCACTCTTAGATTCCCTCTTGGGACATGTAGTAAAGACACTGGGGAAAAAATTGAATTGGGCATCTTCCTGCATCAGAAGGGTGGTCTTGTCTCTAACATTGTCCTGAAAGGACTCGTATCGAATTTTGAGGGAGCAGACATCACTGCCCAGAGTTGACTCATCATCATCGAACATATAGTTATCCACATCTTCTTCAGAGAAAAGGTTAACAGAGAGTTCATTCTTGGAACAGAGGTCCAGTAATTCAATCTTACTCTCACTAATAAAAGTCTCAAAGTAACCCCAATCCTGACTGGGATTTGCCAGCAAAGCCTCTTCTGTATTGCACTTATCTAACAGTAATGCCTCATAATAACTTTTCTGAGTTGGATCTTCTAAGTCAATGTCAGGTTTTTCAGTTTCTCGTCTTTCTCCTCCTACCCTTGTTTTATGCAGAGGGAAGCCTAACAGCTGGTCTGAAAGCAGCTGCTCTCCATATTTCATGTTTTCCCCAGCATTAATGCATTGAATCCCTATGTCGGAGACTGCGCATGTTTCATAATCTCTATTTAGATCACCGACTTTCAGACTGATTCCTGGTTCAGGGTCTACTGCTTCTTTTGATTCCATGAAGCAGCCTAAGCAAGTCCGGCTTGGCTGCATGAGGCAGTCTCCACTGAGAGCTGACATGCCTGCAGGCTCCATGATGGCGAATGGAGATTTCTCACACTCACTGGGCAGTGACCATGTGTTCAGGCCTTTTGTAACTCCAGATGTGAGGGAGATGGCATTCACAGAAGCACTATTAGCAGAATGGTCAGGTGCTTCAATCAGGCCCAAAGGAGATGGAGGGCTCTGCACACATGGCTTCTTAGATGGCAGAGGAAGGAGACCCCTAGGAAACATTGGGGGCTCTTTTTGTACCACTGGTATAGGTTGTGTTGGTGTAGTAGCTTCTAGAGCTGCAAATGACTTCATTGCCACATCCTGGTCCTCTGAGTCTAGAGAAAAAGGAAAAAAAAAGGTAGGAATAAAGTTAATGGTCTTAGACAAGACTCATTCTGTCTCTTTCCTTGGGTCAGTTTCTAATGCTGGGATATCACAGCCTCTTTTTCTCTAGCTTTCTGAATTACCACCTAGACACTAGAAAAACAACATTGATTCAATACTGAACATTCATACAAACCAAAAATAATAATTTGTAGGTTCAGATTCTTCAGGAGAAGATAGAGCCCCCTCAGAAATGATGAAAGAACTGGACTGATGGATCAACTTGAAAAGTCAAAGCTTTCAGAGGGGAAACTGCACAGGGCCCATTCATGGTTTCAGCTATGAGATGCATGCCCATGCTTGAAAAGTTAAGTTCCTAATGAGTAGATGAAAATTTCACATCAGAACGCACTTATACTTTACTAGCAATTTTGAGGAACTTCATTTAGCAGCTGGATTTGATAGAGCAAGGTGATTTATCTGAGAACTCTCAGAGATTCTAGTTCAGTTAAAGATTTGGTAGAATGAAGTTTTTAGATTTATATCAACTTTAGATATATTTTGGATTCAACCTGTCTCAAGTTTCTGTATGCTGAAAAATCTATATTAGTTAAAAAATATGACCAGGAAGACAATGCATCTATAATTAAACTCCCTTACCATTTTCTTTGACACCATTAATCAGAATGTTTTCTCCATTTGCTGAGGCAGCAATAACTTTATCTTGTTGGTTATCCATGAAGGTAGCCTCTTACTGTTTCATCCCAATTTCAAATGTCGTCCAACCTGTACATTTCAAATAGACAATGCCAGTCATTCAGTTTGTCTTATTTTGTATTTTACAAGTTATTTCAGGTATAGGGTTTTAAAAACACTCACTGGGATCTGTTTTCTAGACTGGGTTCATTACTTATGCTGTTTTTGCTTCCTAGTTTACACCTACTACATATGGTTCTTATATTCCCTATCAACAACTGTACTACTATTCAAAACCAAAACTGGAGGAAGCGGTGAAATGTACAATGTACAAAATTAGCCTAAGTATAGCTACTCAATTAGGAAATATGCAAAGTAAAGTCTAGGATAACTTTAAACAATGTGCATATATGTGGAAATTAGATTTGTTTACTTTGTTTCTACTTTAGACAGCCAGCGGTTTTTTTTATAAAGACAAACTGATTCTCTCTCTCTCTCTCTCTCTCTCTCTCTCTCTCTCTCTCACACACACACACCATACTTAATTTCTTTTTATTATTAAAATATAATTACACCATTTCCTTCTCCTTGCTTCACCCTGCTCTAATTCTTGGCCTAATTTTTTGATAATGTATATCTATATCTGTATTTATATCTATACACATTTATCACACTTATTTTCTCTGTGTCTTAAACTTTGATTTCTAAAGTTGGAAGGGATAGAGGACTCTTTAGTTTTGATTTATATGGCTTCAATAAAATTTTGGTAACCATTCCTCCAAAAACATATCAAGATTTTAAAAATGTGATTATAAGTAAGATCAAGATTTTATGAAAAGCCTGCAGTCTCGTGTGGTGCTTTTAAGACACAGTAGAAACACCTATAGCTTTTCATTTTTGTCAACTTACTTGGTATTAGGTATATTGAAAAAATGATAGATGAGTCCACTTGAGCAAAAGTGACCATCATGTGCCACTCCATTAATCCTTACTCTATCCTTAAACATGCTTCCCAGTCAAGTTTTCATCCCTTTATTTAAAAGCACACACAAAGGGCATATGCCATCACATGCCTGTAATATTAGCACTCAGTAGGCAGAGGCAAGTTAGAGGTCAGTCTGATCTACACAGTGAGATCCTGACTCAAAAACAAAGCAAAATAAAACAGGGCCTGCTGAGCTCATCTGGGATGTCCCTTCTATGAGACACTAGGTATGCTCACTACTTCTTATACCATAGACCTGTCTGGCTGACTCTATGAGTTCCCTTTCTGGTACCCACCAGGTAGACCCACTTATTCTCTTATAGAGCTGCCCTGTTCTTCCAGGACTTCCTTTACTCTTGTTGTGAGGTAGGCCTGTTCTTCTTCACTATATAGGCTCCATGGCTACTCTGGAAACTCCATTTCTTGTATTACCAGTAGACTCTGCTCCTTCCCATCCAATAGTTCTAACCAGCTCACCTGGAATATCCTTTCCCTATATTGCCAGGTAGGCCCTTTTCCTTCCAACACCCTAGAGTATACCTTCCTCTGAGACACTGCACAGATTTCACTCTGTTTAATCTTGTGGGACTCCCTGCTCTTCTGGTCTCTTGCTTCCATATACTTTCAGACTACCTAGCTCCTCCAGAATCGTTCAGCCTCACACTTCAGACTAGGACCACTACTTCCAACCCCACATATTGCTCCTCCAGTGCTTCCCAGAATTTCCAGGTAAGTCCTACCCTTCTATACCACACAGATCTCATGAATACACACCCAGCTTCTGGAGAGCTATTGCCCCCAACCACAGGTTGTCCAGAGCAACAGATGGGGAGAAACACACCAGAAGGCTGCAGAAGAGAAGACCAGTAAAGTCTTATACTGACCCTTGGATTGCGTCTGTTTACAGAGACAGAAAGAGACAGAAGTAGACTCTCAAAAGAGGACTAGTAATAGAGCCTGCAGCCCCATTACGAGTACCACAAAACAGAACACCTCAACCTTCTATAGCTTAATCTTTTCATGGATGCTGTGTATGCCTACACTGAAATAAGAAAGGTGATTTGAAATAAAAAAAAAAGGGATTCAACTAACAAACAACTTCAGGTGCACAAATTCTACTACAGAAAAAAAAAAAATAACAAGAAAAAACAGAACATGCCCCCCCCCGTGGTGGTTTGAATGAATTGCCCTTGATAGGCTCAGATATTTGAGTACTTACTTAGTGGGCTATTTGGATAGGTACGGGCGGTGTGGCCTTCCTTGAAGGGGTATATCACTGGAGTTTAAAAGAGTTCACTATCTCTACTTCCTGCTTGCAGTTCAAGATGTTAGCTCTCAGCTTCCAGCTCAAGCCACTGTGCTTGCTTGCTGACACAATTCCCCTCCATGACAAACTTAGTCCTCTGGAACCATAAGCCAAATAAACCCTTCCATTTATAAGTTGCCTTGGTCATGATGTTTTATCACAGCAACAGAAAATTAGAAAATACACCACTCCCCTAGAAAACATTACCAATCTCACAGTAATGAACCCTAATGAAAATGACTGAGAAGATCTTCCTGTCAAAGAACTCAAAAGAATGATTATAACTGTATTCAAACAACTCAAAGAAGATTGGTATATATTCCGAGAGAACTAAAGAAAGAGGTGAATGAAATGTGGAAGTTCATTCAAGATTTGAAAGTGTAATATAATAAAGAGAAAGAATTGTTAAGTAAAACCCAAACTGAAATGATGCTGAAAATGAAAAGTTTGGTAAGAAACAAACAAACACTGAAAACTGCTACTGACATTAGGGAGCATGTGGAAAATAGAGTGTTGGGATTGGAAATCAAAGGGAAATTGTATCACTTAGTAAGTGTCAAGAGAATTTAAAAATTGAACGAAAAACATGGGAGCTTTGAAATACCATGACTATATCTAATATTTGAATTGTGGGTATAAATGAAATGATAGAAGAAAATTTCCCAAACTTAGAGAGATATCCAGCCAGGTACAAGGGATCTATAGAACACACCTAAACTCCTGAAGATATTGTTAATGCTAACACATGAAACCACATTCTAAAGAAAAGGTGTTGAAAGCTGCAAGAAGAAATGGTTAGGCCACTCATAAAGGCAAGCTCACCAAAATAATATCTGATTATTTACAGAAATTTTAATGCAAGAAAGTCCTGCAAATATGTATTCCAAGTTCTGAAAAAACCAAAATTATCAACCCAGACTCTCATCTTCAGCAAAACTATCAATTAAAAGTGAAAGAAAAATAAAACCTTTCCATGATAAATTACAGGTATTTGTGACCACTAATCCAGTTCTACAGTCTACTGAAAGGAATATGTCAGTCTAAAGTGAAAGACAAACACATTCAAGAGGCCATATGGAATATAAGCAGTTTCAGGACAATTAATCAAAAGTCATTAAACATCACAACAAATAACATGAATTAGTAAACATTGTTCAATAGTTGTCTATATTAAAGGTCTTAACTTCCCCAATAAATAATATGTTTGATTATAAGACAGGATCTATCTATCCATCTTCCTGCTGCCTTGAAGAAACATACCTCAGCACCAAGGACAGATATCACATTAGGGTAAAAGGATGGAAAAAGATATTACAAGCAAATAAAAATAACAAACAAGTAGACACAGACTTACAAAATAGATTTCAAAACATAACAATACTGAAGAGATAGGAAAGCTCAGTACATACTACAGAAACAAAAGATCTACGAAGGGAATATTACAATTCTAAACATATGTAACAAACACAGGTGCACCAAATTTCATAAAAGACACATTAGTAGATCTAAAGTCACAGATGAGAGTCAACATAGTAATAGTGGGTGCCTTCAATACTCTTCTGTCACTAAAGGCAGATTATCTAACAAAAGAAATACAACCAGAAAATCATTGGACTTAAATGATATCATGAATCAAGTAGATGTAACATACATCTATAAAACATTCTGATTGAACACTAAAGAATACATGTTTTCAGCATCCCATAGAACTTTACCAATGATTGATCACACATTATGATACAAAGTAAGTATTAACAAATACAGGAAAGTTTAAATAACATCCTATTTTCTATCAAATCATAACGGAATAAAGCTACATATCAATAGTAATAGAAATCACAGAAAGTACACAAACTCATAGACAGTAAACAATATATTACTGAATGATGTATGAGTTCCTAGAGAAATCATTAAAGGAATATAAAATAAATAGAACTGAATGAAAATGAAAATACAGCATACTAAAACCTATGGGACACAGAGAAGACAACCTTAAGATGAAAGTTTACAGTGCTAAGTAACAGAACTAACAAACACTCAGACACAGACTTACAAAATAAAATTTTGAGGTATCTTAAATAAATAACTTAATGATATACCTTAAGGTCTTGAAAACACAAGAACAAACCAAAACAAAAGATAGTAGATGAGAAGAGACAATCCAAATAAGGGTTGAAATTAATGAGCTAAAAAAATCAGTAACAACAACAAAACAAATCAAATAAACAAAGAGCTGGTTCTTTGGAAAGATAAATAGTATTAATAAACCCTTAGCCAAGTTAGTTAGAAGAAACAGTTAATAATGCAAACATTATTACAATTAATTAAAAATTAAATAATTAAAATTAATGTAATTGTAAATGAAAAGAGAGACATTACAATAGATAAAATGAAATTAAGAAAATCATAAGGATATTAGGGAACCACATTCATAATAGGCACACCCTGCTACACATACATACACACACATACACCATGAACACCCTCCCCTCCCCAGGTATAAACCTAACCAAGGAAACAACCAACAGTTGGGATCTCATGAAACAACTTCTGTACAACAAAGTAAAAGGTCAATTGAATGAAGAGGCAGGTATCAGGGGTCATAGCTTCTACTCTAAGATGGACTTAACATGGGAAGGGAAAAGTTTTGTGGGGTTCATCCTTAGACAAAGAATAATATATAACTAATTAGTGATTGTAGAAGGAGAATTAGCCTCTCCCAGGGATGTACCCCCTTATTGGTTGTCCAATATAGAATGGCAGTCCTGAAACTATAAACACACAAACAATACAATGGAC